TATATATATATATTTACACACACACATACATATGTATATATATATTTATTTTTTTCTCGATTTTTTTGTTTTGGGGAAAAATAAATTATATATATATACATACATATAGATATATTTTTTTAAAAAGAGGTTCATATCATCTGTAACTGCTGTTGCCACATATATAACATAAATTAATGCATTACAGCCAGTTTTGGTGCATTTGAATGGCCTTCATTTGATTGTAATCGGTAGTTAAAAGTGCTCATAAATACATGAGGTAACATGTAAATAAAGTCTTTATTCTTTTCAATTTAAAAACAGCCTTTTCAGAAAATAAACTTGTTTTCTTTGAACAGTTACTGAATCTGTACTGAACTTGTGTTACTTTGATTGTGTTAATGTTTGCGATTTACACCCAAAACTAATTAAATTCTCGTCTGTTTTTCATTAATTATTTCTCTGTTTATTACGTGAATCGTCTCTCTGTGTGAATAAGTTCACCTAGACTCGATGGTGGGAATTAGGGGGGTTTGAGGCAGAATAATGGGAACAAATTAACCAGCAAGTGCATGAAAAAAAGCCCTAACCCTATATATGCATATATATATTTTTTTATTTTTTTGGTGTAGTCTTCTACTGGCTGTTATCAGGTATATCTGAATGTGTACAACAGGGGTTTGAGCAAAGCTTTTACCACTGAATGATGCAAAAAGTCTCAGATCCAAAAGACTTCAGAAACCGGATCAGATATGACACATTTGGCATTATAGGGTTAATATGACTATTTTTCCTGGACATGGAGCGTTTTTAGTTCAGTAACTGTCTTTTTCCTGTGGGCAGCCTTTAGGTCTAAGGAGACTACATATTTGAAAACGGTTAAGCCTGGCAACAAATCTATTTTATTTATAAACTGTAGCTTTAATAGCTTTATTAGGAGCTTTTTTGGGGGGGACATCTCATGTCCAAAGGTTGAAATAGTTCTTTTTTTATGGTGTTAAATTCTTGTAAATCTGGATTTTTATCAGATGTTTGCCAAAATCAATCAGAAACCGTATCAGATATGACACATTTGGCATTATAAGTATTTGTGATTCTGATCACTTAGTCTGTGTCTGTAAACTAAATGTTTAAATGCTAGCAAACCTACGCTGAGCGTCCCAGGCCGGAGACAGGTCTGCAGGTGGAGAGCTGCCAGCCTGGAGAGACAAAAATAAAAAGCTTTTAGCCGTTTGTGCCCTGAAAAAGCAACAGCCAGAGAAATTAAAACACTCATTTTATAAATTACTATCACACACGGTTTTATAAACCAAAAAAAAAAGAGTTGGTTTCGCTGATTAAATCAACTTTTAAATTGCAACGGAAAGAGGGATTTTTCTTTTTTTGACCCTAACCCTGACCCTAAATCTAACCCTAACCCTGACCATGACCCTAACCCTGATCCTGACCCTAACCCTAACCCTAACCATGACCCTAACCCTGATCTTAATCCTAAAACTGATCCTGACCTAACCCTAACCCTGACCCTAACCCTTTACCTAACCCTGACCCTAACCCTGACCTTAACCCTAACCCTAACCCTTAACCTAACCCTGACCTTAACCCTAACCTTAACCCTAACCCTAAACCTAACCCTAACCCTAGCCCTTCACAGTTAACTTCTGATGTACTTCTGATTTACAGGCTAGAAAAACATTCCAGTGAAATAAATTTAAAATCAAAACACATTTTCTGGTTTCTAAAACAAAAACAATTACAATCCCGACACAGTTTCAGGGGCAGCCTTACAGGGGTCAAACATCTGGCCGTCAGCGCCCACAGCTGCTCTGGGACCACGTAGTTCTGCCCACCGGGATAATGAATCTGGGGGGGGGGGGG